GCATTATACAGTGGCATTAAGTGCCGTAATGTACACTTCTGCTTACTCTTTCGGGGATAAAAGGCGTGATGTTATGATATGTTATGTAATTATGAACACTATTTAAGAGAGGCTAAAGTCTTAACTTTAAAGTCTTGCCATAAACCAGGTACAATTTTAGTATCACTCCAGTTATTAACAATACCAACATTAAAAAATTTGTCCAGTTCATGAACCGATGTCTCTCGTTTCCCTGCACCGCTGGACATAGCTTCTCCTGAAGCAAGCTGAGCTTGAAAAAATGTATCTCATTCTCATTTATTTCTTCCACAGCACCGGTCGGGAATGCAAGGCGACCCACCATTGTGTGTCCAAAGTATGGCCGAACACGAACTTCGCCGAGGACACAGACAGCATCTGCAAGATCTGTACCGACATGGTGCAGCAGGCTAGAGACCAGCTGCAGAGTAATGAGACACAGGTTAGTAAATATTATATAGAAATTCTTACGATGCTAACTAAAGAAGTATATTATACGGGTTTTATTATAGTAGTGAAAACTTAGGTGTTTCTCTGTGTAAGTAGGTAGCATGTGTTAAATTCGGTCTTCAGGGGCTTTCTATCTTTACAAAAAGGGTCATATACTATTTGTATGTTTGTGTATAAAATATTTCCCAATAGGTAAATGAGAATAGAGACCAATTAGAAACTTTTTCTCAAGGTTCGTAAAACACTTTTGGCAAGAGATTTGTGACATGTTGTAGGTACTTTAGTTTTTAAAAAGAGGTTATTTTAACCGTTTTAGATTGTAAATAAACTACCAAAATGTGTAATAATAATTTATATTGAATAAGAAACTCGAGACAACGTAACAATTTAATAACAAAATTATATGAAAGATGACAATAAGTTTCATCAGCCTGTTACAGATCCAAATTAATCTATAACCGTGAAGATACTTATATAAAAGTAGATGATTTTATAAAATAATCAATTTCTTCAATAGTGTCATCAAGCTATAAATGTCTGTGATGAAATTTCAATAACAGTTTTCAATGTTGATAAATCTATATCTATAAAAGAAAGTGTAGGTTACACTATACATAACTTAAGAACGGCTAAATCGATTTGGATGAAAATTGGTGGGGAGGTAGCTTAAAACATACATAAGACATAGGATACTTTATATCGAACTTTTATAACGAAACGGGTCCGGGAATAAACGTGATTGAGCGTACGAAGTCGCGTATTTTAACAATGAACATTTTAATTTTCATCATAAATGTAGGCCATTTTTTCGTCAACGCTCACGTGACCAGTTATCTTAATACAAACAAAGGTTGAACTTACACCTTGGCGTGAGTAAGTCATTGTCCGATAGTGGAGTACATTACATTGTTGTTATACATACCCTACTATTGTACTATGTTAATAATGATGGGCCAATGACTGCTGTTTTGTAGGTGCAGATTATATTGTTCTATTTGAACCCTTATATATCACTATATATCACTTATATACACATTATAGTGAGGGGGCCATTACTTACTAAGTAGTGATGTTCATACATGTAACATCCCCCTTCTTAAGTTTAAACAATTACAATAGGACTTAATCTATTTCATAAATAAACCTCTTGGTCGGTTTAACAATACGACCTGACTTTGTCTTGTAAAATTCTGACTGTGGAAATGGTGGTGATATTGTTAAACTGTCAAACACCAAGCGGTCACCGGTGACCGCAACCTATTGTTCTATAATTGTGTCTACAAAACCGGTACTCGACGAGTTAAACCGACCGGGGTCCGGGGGATGTTACATGTATGAACATCACTACTTAGTAAGTAATGGCCCCCTCACTATAATGTGTTATATAAGGTAGAACACTTTTCATTAACGCCGCTGTCTACCTGTCATAGTCTAGTGTGTGTACACGTCGTGCGCCCTGCACATTATTGTAATAAATCCAAGTATAATAAATCCGTCTACAATTTATTAATCCACCAACATAACATATATAATAACTCATAATAACTCTAGAAGTTTTAAACTTGATTTACAAGAGAATCACTGAAATATTGATTAAAACATTGTTTAATTATAATTGTAAATGAAACAACCAATACATGTTTTAATTATTTTTGCTATCGTGATAAGAACGACCTGAATTCAACCATTTGTACCGAACTGGATACATACGTATTATAAAATGAACAATGACGCTACTATATTGTTTAAAAACATTTTATTCCACATCTAGGCAAACTAAAAATAAATGATAAGTCATTCATTGCGTAGGTTAAGTAAAAAATGTCGCGTTAATTAGTTAAATACAATTTAATTTAATTTGTTTGGTCTTATTCCTGATTTCCCCTATGAAACAGACGATTTTTTTTTCATATAATGTTTATTTTTTGATACTTGATTTAGATAGTTCGTTTGACCACCATCTCGCCTTATGAGTGATGATGAGTATTTATTTGTGTTTGTATTTTTATCCTGCCAGTAACGAACATAAAAAAGTATAATTCAATTCTGTAAAGTTTTTTGCGAGATAAGCATGCGTATACCTATGTGGACTACCTATAAACTACATATTCGTTTCTATTTAGCTGTGGATATAGATTTATTAAAGTAGATGTTTACTGACCCAGAGTAGTTTTTGAGTAACCGGGATCAAAGAGAACAGCTCACTATAAAGTAGAAAATCACATGCCACCAACTATGTCATCAACGGTCCATGGTAGTCTGACCAGCTTTAGAGCTGCTCTTAGATGGCCCTCCTCTACATACAATGTGCATGCAATACGAGGCGTCATGCGGGCAATACTTATTAATACTAACTTATAATCTTATTAGACTGACCATAAGGAATATTTATAACTTTATAATTAAATTAAATTAAATGTAATCAACATAAATTTAATTACATTTAATCACATATCTGATTATAGGCAGACTTTTAGTTCATAATCAAAATCAGTACCTAACACACACATGCATAATTCAATTTAATTCCGATTGATAGTTTAATATAATATGACTACAATAAATATTTAAAAAAGTAATCATGCCTATGGTTTCAGATTATGGTCTCTGCATTTATCGTAAGTTTGTTATGTGTATATCCTGTTTAGAGTATTATCATTTAGCGTGGGTTTTGTTATTTTATCTGTGGCCATGTCGCCATTATGTCTGCATTGTACATAATCTATGGCTAATCGTTCTAATTATGAATTTTTGTTTTGTTTGAAAGTAATCTGTGTTATCTTAGAGCTGGACATTCCATAATATCAGATAAAGAAAACATACGTTATTTGATAGTAATTATAGAATCTTTTAGAAAAGATGTTTTTATATTATAATTATTTTATTGCTTCTTAGCCATAATTCTATTAGGTTTCATTCTTGATACAGAAACTCATAGAGTATTTTTGTTCTAGATATTAGTTATTTCGGTATTTATATTTATTAGTTAGTGTATTGTAGTTAAATGCTTTAATAACATGTGGGTAACAAGTAATATAATAAGATTATTATAATAAGGACAGTAATGATTCTATTTATTAATTTGTCTATCACATTTATACACTGTTTTCAGTATTTTTTCCAAAATCAACTTAACACACACATGTCCAAATACTCAAACACCACTCAACTTTAAGTCGCATTTAAATGTAGTTCTGTCGCTACAAATTCTTTGCAAAATGACAGAGATGGCACGATATTTATTATACACTCATTTCAGTATTTTTTCTAAAATCAATTTATCACACATAATGTCCAAATACTCAAACGCCACTCAACTTTAACACGCATTTAAATAAAGTTCTGTCACTACAACTTCTTTGCAAAATGACAGAGATGGCACGATATTGAAGTACAATAAAAAATTGAGTAGGGTTTCAGTATTTGGCCGATAATATTGCAGTTTAAATTAGTTTAAATGACCTTTTAACTTAATAACCTTTTGACTCTAATAGACTTATACCGAAATATTTTTCATTACAGGAAGAACTAAAGGAAGTTTTCGAAGGATCATGCAAACTAATCCCAATCAAAGTGGTGGCCAGCGAGTGCATGAGGTTGGCTGACGACTTCGTTCCCGAACTGGTGGAGACCCTGGCTTCTCAGATGAACCCTCAACAAGTCTGCTCGGTCGCTGGACTCTGCAACAGCGCTAGGATCGATGAAATGCTTGAAGAATTTGTAAGTAGCTATTTAGTACTGATTATAAATATTAGAATAGAAACCGGGGGGGGGGGGTATTTCAGTACCTCGACATTTTCTCTATTACATGGGATTTGTTAAGTTCCTTGTAAAATATGGATGTCCACTTTTAATATGAGCAATTATAGGCACTGCCTTCACTGTAAGGGCATTCTATAAAAAATAACTATTTTCCTGCATTTTTCCACACGTTAGCATTACCCTTGCTTCTAGTGAATTTTCCACCTTTTTATTACTTATGAAGCTTTGTCCCAGCAATTACAAAAACACGAACAATAATATAATTAGTTGATTAGATACAGCTGTTCTTTATCGTATCACGTACGTACATTCGGTACTATTGTTTTATTTACATGCATACCTATATTGATTGATTTATAATTAATTTGTTTACATTATGGTACACGACTTTATTAGTTATTGGACAGAACCTTGACAAAGGCCAGGTGGAAAGTACTCTTACCGTATACGAGTATGCTCGTATCATGACTAGATGGATGAATATGTTGGAAGCTCAAATATTGTTTACATATATACATACATGCCTGTCTCCCATGGGGATAGGCAGAGACTATGGAACGCCAATTACTACGATTCCTACATACCTCTTTCGCTTCATCAACAGTCATCAAATATTATTTTATCCACATATATCAATTTAATATTATAAATGTGAAAGTTTCTTTGTTTGGTTGTTGTCCGTCAATCACGCTGAAACTACTGAACGAATTTTGATGAAATTTGGTATACAGGCACGGTATGGGCTGACTTAGGTGACAGGATGACTTTTTATCCCGATTAAATGCTCCCGTAGGATAAAACAGGAATCATATATTACGCGGACGAAGTCGCGGGCAGCTAGTCCTTCAGTAAACACAGATTCCACACCTTGGCAATTCTTATACAAAAATGTAAACAAGGATCGTAGATATTAGTCGACTATGTAGAAGTCGATAGTCGACTCTGTAATCTATTATACCCAGGCCACGTGAGACAAGCGTAAGTAGGTATGTATGTAAAACATAGCACAAAGTAACACATGTCTTATTTCTTTGTTCTTTGTGGTTTTAAATATAAGTTACGCACTTTATACTGACCCGGTTGTGTGACAATGATGAACTTAATGCGTCATTATTGAGATTATCTACATTTTAGTACATATATGTTTGAGTGTAAACATATCTATTACAAATTGAAGTCGTTAGATATAGATAGATATATTTCAATACATTTTGATGATGGAATGACATATTGCTTGCTTATACAATTTGAATTTAAACTATTTGAGTAGAATAATCTCTATATTTATTTGGCTAG